AGCGTTCTGGGGTGCAGGGGGCTAACCTGTGGTGTGGGTGGCAGCGTTCTGGGGGGCAGGGGGCTGACCTGTGTGGGTGCGTGCGTGCCGCTGGAGCTCGTCACTCCGCGTGAACCTCTTTCCACAGAAGAACCAGTTGCAGACGAAGGGCCGCTCGCCGGTGTGCAGGCGCACGTGGGCCCGCAGCAGGGACGTCTTGCGGAACGTCTTGCCACAGTCGGGGATGTGGCACACGTGCTTCTTCTTGCCTTGCTCTCCAGACCTGAGGTGGGGTTGAGCGGGAGGAGGAGAGGGAGGGGGAGGGAACAGGGAGGGAATGGGCGGAACAGGAGTGAGGTTGTGGGTCGGCTCAGAGAGCACAGGAAAAGAGGGAGGCAAGGTGGCATGAGCCTCCTCTCCCCCTCCTCTCCCCCGCTCGGCATGGCCCTGGCGGCTCACAGCTCTGGGTGCCTTTCCCCAGGAGGGGCTTGGGGAACATGGCATGTGCCAGTCTGGCAGCCTGGCCCCTCTCCTCGAAATACCTCTTGTCTCCGTCCTTGCAGTTGGGACACGTGCAGGCCATGCGGCGCCGCTTCTCGCCGGGCTGGGTCTCTCCGGCCAGGGCCTGCTCCATCTGCAGCTGGATCTGGGTGGGACTCAGCCCGCTGATGGTCAGGTTGTTCCCCGAAACGTTCTGCACCGTCAGCTGCTGCTGCCCTGTGAGGATGAGGAGGCTCAGGGTGAGGAAGCCTGACACCTGGGGTCAGCCCCTCTATGCTGCATGTGACAAGGATGGTAATCACAGCAGCTAATGTCCTTTTTATTTTTTTTTTAAAGAATTATTTATTTATTTATTAGTATTTTTAATATTCCCCAGGGCACGTGTGTTCACAGAAAGAGACAGAGAGAGGGAAAGCTGCCAGGACTAAGACTCAAACCACGATCAGCCATGTGGGAGTCCAGTGCCTTAACCACCATGCCACCTGCTGGCTCCAGCAGCTAATATCTTTCGAAAGCCAGTTATATTCCAGATACCATTTTAGACACCTTATATGTATTCATTCATCTAATCTCCGCAACCCTTTGAAATAGATACTGCTGGGGCCAGCAGGTGGTGTGGTGGTTGGAGGCGCTGGACTCCCACATAGAAGACTGCTGTTCAAGTCCCAGACCTGGCAGCTTGCTTTCTCACTTTCCCCCTCTCTCTTGCTCTGTCCCTCTCTAGTCAAATGAAAATAAATAAAGTTAAATAAAATAATTCCTTAAAAGGTAAAAAAAAAAAAAAAGAAATAGGTACTATGACCCCCATTTCACAGATGGAGGGACTGAGGCTCAGTAGGTCATACGTCTAGTAAATGGCGAACCTGGAGCTGAACCCAAGCAGTCTATTTCAGAATCAGTGCCCTTAGCACCATCTACACAGACAAAATCAGCTGTGAGACACTGCCCACATTTCAACTGGGAAGGGTCTCGTCTTGGGGGGTTTCTTCCCAAATGTCCTCCAGCCTCAGGCCCTCAAGAGATACCAACTCTGCTTTTAGAAAAGTCTCTAGGAATTTTTATTAATAAGAGTGAGGAAATAATCCTTTAGGCTTGGGGGAAACGTCAGGTCATCTAGACAAGACGCTTTGTCTTCCCCTCTTGGGGTCACCTTGGGGTCTTCCTTCTTGGGGTCATTCATGAAGTGCCATAAATATACTCATTAAGGATGAGGAGAGGAGATGGAGAGAGCGCCGACTACCTTGAAAATCACCCTTCATCCAGGTAAAGAAGGCAAGGACCTGTTTTTGCTAGGTAGCTGCGCCTTTGCCTGGGATTATTTGCAAGGCTGCTCTCAGTGTAAACATCACCACTGAACTGAAATGTGTCGACGCAATGTATCCCCGCTGCCCCAGGCTCCCTCCTCTTCCAACCTTAACTCCAGGCTTTCTCCTCTAAGAAGCCTTCCTTGAAGTTCCTTAACCCAGCAGATCTCCCCTTAGCATCTGTCATCCGTCTGTATCAACTACTCCGCATTTGTACGTTAGTTGGAACGTTTTCCTGAAGACCTCTATTTTCGCCATCAGGGTCCAGGTCTTCAGCTGTCCGATAGGGACGTGTGTCTAAAACTATCTCACAGCACTGCTGTAAGGGGTACGTGGGGAGCTACACACAGAGGTGTTCTAAAGCTGAGAGGGACCCATGAGGGCAGTAGCCTCGCCGCGGTTACTGGGAATTCAGGGGCAGACCCACAGTTCCCATGGGCCAGCAACACAGACACTGCTGTTGGCACCCTGCAAGGGGCCTCCCCTCACCGCCGGTGTTGGTGATGGTGACAGGCACGCCCTGGACCTGGACGCCGTTGATGTTAATGGTCTGCATCGCTTGGGCAGCGGCTGCCAGCTGGGCTGCGTTCAGGCTGATGATGCTCCCAGCGGGGGCAATCTTTGGCAGAGGACGCTCTTTTCGGAGAATCGCAGCTGAGTGTTTTTTGCTGGTCCCGCTCAGATGGGTAGTACGGGATGCGGGGCTGCTGCAGGTGGTGGTAGAGGTGGTCACAGCTGTTGCCGGGGGACTGTCCTGGACAAGAACCGTCTGCACCTCCCCAGAAGGCGTGCGGAAGTAGACCTGGGAAGAGCCAGAGAGAAAGTGTATACCTGATCAGGTCTTCTTGTCACAGAGGACTTACTGGGGCCAGTGAGGACACCTGAATAAGGTTCTGAATTAGTGGTGTATTCCATCGCGTTTCCTGGGTGTGACTGTTATACTGTGGTATGTAGAACATCCTACGTATAGAATTCAAGCATTCGGAAGTGACGGTGGGATGATGCTGGCAACTTAACGTTCAAATAATTTAGGAGAAAAATGTTTGTAAAGAAAAATCCTGCTTGTGATTTTGACTGAAGTTATTTTTATTTTTGAAAATTTGCTATAGAGGGGGCTGGCAGGTGGTGTGGTGGTTAAAAGCGCCGGACTCCCACATGGCTGACCACGGTTTAAGTCCTGGATCTAGTGGCTTGCTTTCTCACTTTCCTTCTCTCTCTCTTGTCAAATTGGAGAATAATAATAATAATAAATAAAGTTAAATAAAATAATTATTTAAAAAAATTTGCTAGGGACCAGCAGGTGGCGTGATGGTTAAGGCGCTGGACACTCCCACATGGCCAACCACGGTTCAAGTCCCAGACCTGGTGGCTTGCTTTCTCACTTTCTGTCTCTCTCTGGCCAAATTAAAATAAATGAATAAATCAAACTAAATTTAAAAAAAAAAACAATCTGCTATAGGGCGTGTGCACTTGCTGGCTTGCTGGAGAGAGAGAATATGAGAAAGCACCCCCAGTGAGGAGTGGCCAACCATAATCCCTTTCTATGTAAACGTGCCCTGAGTGTTTTTTAAATTTATTTTAAAAATTTTATTCATTGTCATTATTTATTTATTTATTTTCGCTATAGGTCACGTGCGCTTGCCAGACAGACAGAGAGAGACATAGAGCCAGAAAGCGAGAAATCACCCCCCCAGGGGGGATGGTCACACCACAATCCCTTCTCCTCCATTCTCGGGATCTTGGGCACGCACGCACACGCGCCCGGCATGAGTTCTAAGTCACCGGGTCCGGGACGCAAACCGCGGTCGACTACGTGGGAATCCAGCGACATAGCCATTACGCTAACTGCTGGTTCCCAATTTTATTTTATTTTTTAACAAATTATTTTATTCAATTTTATTCATTCATTCATTTATCTTAATTTGACCAGAGAGAGACACACAGAGAGAAAGAGGAAAGTGAGAAAGCAAGCCACCAGGTCCAGGACTTGAACCATGGTCAGCCATGTGGGAATGTCCAGTGCCTTAACCACCATGCCATCTGCCGGTCCCCTTGATTTGATTTTAACTGAAGTTGACCAGAGACAGAGAGAGAGAAGGAAAGCAAGATGCAAGTTGCCAGGTCCAGGCCTCAAACCATGGTCACCCATGTGGAAGTCCAGTCACCTTAACCACCATGCCAACTGCCAGCCCTACCCTGAGTGTTTTTCAAGACTTCAAGTCCGGGACTTGAACTGTCCAGTCATGTGAGATTCAGCTGCCTTCACCACCATGGCACCTACTGGCCCCAGATTGGAGTTATTTTAATTTCTGGATTATTTAGGACTGTATTTCTCAGTTAAAGAAAACAGATTTCATATCATCTCTTAATAAATAAACAAATTTTATTCCTAGTCTTTTGATATGTGTCTCTTTTATGAATCAGTGCTATTTTGTATCAGTTTTTCTTCATTTTCTTTTTTATTCTCCAGTCTGAAAGTTTAACCACTTTTGGGACCAGCAATTAGCATAATGGCTATGTCGCTGGACTTCCACGTAGCTGACCGCGGTTCAAGTCCTGGAACCGGTGGCTTAAAACTCATGCCGAGCGCGTGTGCATGCGTGCCCAAGATCCTGGGAGGAGAATGGCGGAGAAGGGATTGCGGCGTGGCCATCCCCCCTGGGGGGCGGTTTCTCGCTTTCTGTCTCTATGTCTCTCTCTGTCTGGCTGGCGAGCGCACGCACCCTATAGCAAAAAACCTCTCAAAAAAAAAAAAAAAGAAAAGAAAGAAAGTTTAACCACTTTTTATGGTAAAGAGCCAGGTAGTGAACAATTTAGGCTTTGTGGGCCACATGGTGTCTGCTCAGCAACTTGACCCTGCTGCTCTAGTGCAGATGTAGCACAATGGGTATCTGCGTTCCAATCACACTTTAGCTACAAGTGATTTGGCCAGATCTGACCTGAAGGCCCAGGACTGCCAATCCCTGATATAGAATATGGTATGGTAGTTAAGGCGGCTGGATCCCACATGGCCAACTGTACAGTTTGAATCCTAGACCTGGCAGCTTGAAAAACACGCTGGTTTGGGATCAGCAGACAGTGTAATGGTTATGTCACTAGACTCCCATGTAGTTGACGGTGGTTCGAGTCCTGAACCTGGTGACTTAAAACACACCAGGCACATGTACTTGCATGTCCAAGATCCTGAGAAGAGAATAAAGAAGGCATTGTGGTGTGGCCATCCCCTCTGGGGGGTGATTTCTTGCTTTCTGTCTCTGCCTCTGGCAAGTGCACATGCCCTGTAGCAAAGTTGGGCACAACTGCATGCATGCCCAAAATCCCAAGAGGAGAAAGGAGGAGAAGGGACTATAGCATGGCCATCCTGTTGGGACGTGCTTTCTCACTTTACTTCTTCCTCTTTCCAGCAAGTGCATACACCCTATAGCAAATTTCAAAAGTGTGCATCCTTTATTCACTTTTAAGAATGTATTTAGTTATAAGATTGTAAATAACCTAGACATATAGTTAACAACGGATTCATTATATAATAATCAGCACATTGGGATAATGGAAAACTATCTATTGGGTTATCAGAAAAGTCATGATGCATTTTTGCATAGAAAAACATAGAGGGACCAGCAGTGACATGGTGGTTGGGGCACTGGATTACAACATGGCCGACCATGGTTTGAGTCCCAGACCTGGTTGCTTGCTTTCTATCTCTCTCTCTCATGACCACATGTGCCTGTGGAAAATTTAAAATAAGGGACCAGCAGAAGGTGGAATGGTTACATTGTTGGACCCCCACATGGACCCAGCAGCTTAAGACTCACACATGCATGCATGCCCAAAATCCCAAGAGAATGGATGGGAAGGGATTACAGCGTGGCCATCCCCTATTGGGGGTGATTTCTCACTTTCTGTCTCTCTGGTGAGTGCACGTGCCCCATAGCAAAATCTCTCTCAAAAAAAAAGAACTTAATAATAAATTAAATTAAATAACTATTTTTAATAGAAAAATATGTCATGACTTTTCTGACAATCCAGTAGTAATTTGAAAACAGCAAAACTAAGGGCCAGCAGGTAGCATGGTGGTTAAGGTGCTGGCCTCCCACACAGCCAACCACAGCTCAAGTCCTGGACCTGGTAGCTTGCTTTCTCACTTTCTCTCTCTTGCTGTCTTTCACTCTGTACCTCTCTGGTCAAATTAAAATAAATAAGTAAATAAATAAATGAAGTTAAATAAAAATAATTATTTTAAAAATATATGCTATTATTCTGTTCATATAATTCTAGAAAATGCTTTTGCACATAACGATATGTTATAGTTATCTTTTCATAATAATCTGTTTATTTATCTGCTTGGTTCTTTCAAATGCTGAACTCTAAAGACCTTGAGACAAGGATTTAAGTACAATTACTTTACATGAGAAGTGATCCCAGAAAACACTGGTAGAGAAATGGGGAAGTGAGATAAGGAAGAGGGGGGATGCTATCTAATAGAGGATGTTTTACCAAGCAAGTCAACATTGTAGGTAACCAGAGCTCCCACAGAGGAACTCGAGGAGCCAATGTACTTACTACAAGATTGTAGAAAACTTCTATCTAGAGAGAGCTGGAGTATTTATCCACCCACTCCCATCTGCCATTGACTGAGGTCTGCCTCAGAAGTCATTAATTCCTAGTACTTTTAGCCTGCCATCGCCTGGACAGGGAGGGCTCTAGTGGCCAGAAAATGCCTTTAGTCAAGGAGATGTGGGTGCTAGAAGTCGGAAGTCTGTTGGCATACATAGACATGGTCAGTCCCAGGTTGTATGGGTGGGGCACTGATAGAGTCTGCTACAGAACACATGTGCCTCCATTCATTAAATCATTTCCCATGTAAGATTTCAATAGGTGGGACCAGCAGTTAACGTAATGGCTATGTTGCTGGACTCCCATGTAGTTGACCTCGGTTCGAGTCCTGGACCCGGTGACTTAAACTCATGCCAGGCATGTGTGCATGTGTGACCAAGATCCTGAGAGGAGAATGGAGGAGAAGGGATTGCAGC